TCATCGTCCGAAAGGTATTTAGATATTTTGTAGTTTGTTTCCGAAGGCCAGTCAACACAGTTTGTATGAACGAACACTCTGGATGTTCTGGTTTGTGCAGGGGTATTCTTACCGACATTGGCAGCATAATAAGCACGCTTCCTGTGTTCTCCGAAGTGGTTCACTATTTTACTCCATTGTATGTGGCTCGAGGCAAGATATGCGTTGTAGCAGGAAGGGTCACTTATATCGGGATGTTAAATCTACTGATTCTGTAAAGATCTATTAGCAGTTCCCTTCTTTATGATGTGGGGTTGAAAAAGAAAAGGCGTCTTGGGCTTTTCGTGCGAAGAAACCGAAGACGGCCCTTCAAAATCTAAAACTTATTTTAGTTTTTGGTTTTCTTTTTTGAATAAAAATTTGCAGAACTTGTAAGAATGATACTCTGGTTGTTAATCTGTGATATTTAATGATAGGTGGGGTTTAGATTTGAATAAGTGAAGTAAATGGCTGACTTTTGCAACATAGTTTGATACTTTTGACTTGAAATTCAAACAGAAATAAAAAATGTGACAATTTATAAATAAGGCTCCAGAAATGATCACTAAGTGGCGTATAGGAAGCAAATGGAATTAAGTTGCAAACTGCCCTTCAATGAAAATTCCTCGTGATTGAGCCAAATTGGCTTTGTCTTCATATTTTTAAGACCGTATCTGTGTTTCCTCGACAGACCGAGTGTATCAGGTTTTCCTGATGATAGCTATTCTAAAGAATGACTTATAAATGGTCTGTAAACGTTTCCTTTTGCACCTATTCCATCGAACGAATCACTAGCCGACATGAATTCCCTTCACTATAACCTTCGTCATTTACCACTGCAATTTTCAATCCCGAATACATATTCTTTAAAATTTACCAGAGATGTTCTCAAACTCATTTACTTTCTCAGTGTAAGTAACGAGACTGTGAAAGACAGAGAAGTTAAACTCGTACTTAAACTATCCTTTTTAGGAACATGTTTCCTGAGAACATTATTCAGGCCTGCACCCAACAGCTTTCCAGCCAACTGATCAACAAGACAATTACACCGGATGCAGTCAAGGTTAGTTGAACGTTTTCGTTAGGAAAATCATTAAATATATGTGGCACTCCAAATGATGATTTTGTACTCCAACCAGTTAAGCAAACCATTGACGTGAAAGACCCCCTAGATTTTTAAACTTAGAGAACCTGCTTACCAACCAGAGGTTTTCATGGCCAGTTGTTTACGCATGCGAACCTTCAGCCGAATATTTCTTATTCTAACAAACGACGCCAACCATTACCGTAAATGATCCATGTGTGCCGTATCAAGCAAACGTATTCTGTGGACTGACTGTCGTCTGTGAAAACATTATGTGGCATACAGTGAACAATGACTGTCCTTGTAAACCACTAGTAAGGCTGGTGCCAGACAAAGATTCTCATGGTCGGTTGTTTACGCATTTGCAGCCGGTATTTAGTGAACAGAGCCAGACTTATCATGCCACTGTCCTTATTCAGTAAGACACAGTATGCGTCAAAACCTATAAACAACTGACCGAAGGTTGCCGCGACGTTTTCAACTGAAAATATTTGGGTAGGAAACGAGGAAAAATCGATTGACCGGGAAAACCTTACGTACACGGTTCCTGCGTTGAAGCACATTGGTTGTTAGATATGTGATAATGCAAACGTCCGTATAGATATCAATGACCATAGAGTAACCATTCTAGTACTAACCAATGCTCCTTTGATAGAACAAGATCAAAGCACTTAATCCAAAAAGCAACTACGAAGAGCTCTCTTTGGGCATGGCTGGAACTTGCAAAACGCAATTTTCAGCACGTGTCTGTGAAGATAATTCTGTATTCGCCTGACATCTCGATGCACGCTGATATAAACGCTGTTGTCCCTGATAGCCCTAGCGATAAGGCTCTTGTTATGGCAACTCTGTCCGTATAAAGAGATACTCTGACGCTTGTCAACTATTACACTAGATTTAAATGGCACTGCATCATTTGTACCCACCAGTACACAATTCATGGTGGTATGATACATTAACAATAAGGTAAACTTTCGGAAATTTGTCTTTATTTAAAGATTACCAAGAACCCCTATAATCTGTGACTTCAATTAAACGTCTAAATATGT